GAGCAGGTTCTACTGATCTCCTTTCAAAGCATGACTGATTTATCAGTTATTTGCTGTGCAGAGTGCTGTAGACAGCTAATCTGATAGATTACAGGAAAAATTTCTTCTCCAGGTTAATTACTGTCCTTTCCTGGATACATAAGATTCAGCTGTTAGTGCCAACAGTAGTTATTTTGTCTGAAGACAGAGCTCATACAAGGCATGTCTGAGCAAGCAGGCATAGCACATATTTAATGCTGGGTGCTCATATGAACGTACCAGTGCACATACCTTTGAATTCCTTTGCCTGTGTTGTCGGGAGGCAGATGCTGTTGCCTGGCACAGTGATCACAGATTTTACAAGCAATAATGTGTGTCATTTCCACAGTTCGAAAAAAACCCTTAACAATAGAGTTAACAGGAGCACTGCTGAAAAGAGCACTTGCCATGATGAGCGCTAATTTAAAGTGTGCCTCTTCTTCCCTCTTATATTCTGGTTTATTGCTGTCAGGCTGTTCCTGGGTTCTGGCCGCACGGTGCTGCTTTCCAATAGAAATAAGAAACATGAAAGCACATTTTAGAGGAAAACATGTAACATAATACAGGAGAAAGTAGGTCAGTTTTCACTTGCCAATGCCCCTTTAAGTTAACAGCTGTGGGTCAGAATACATTTTTTATACAGAAGCACAGACAGAAAATGTAAGCTTGCGCAGTGATGTCTCGTGCTGTTCATAACCTTCACCTTATGACCTTTGATGTGCTGTGTGGCAAGTGATCAAAGACACAAAACCAGATTTTTTTTGGTTGTTTTAGTGGATTTAATGTGTCAGTTTTCTGAGAATACTGTATTTATATACACAGGGTTTTTTTTTAATTGGCACAGTCTGTGAAGAATTATTTTCATCTCTTAGGGAAGGGAAGGCAGGGATGTACTTTTAGTGTGTTCCTAAAAGTCCTTGAAATACGGGTTCTTGATTGCAAAGTTGTAACTGAGATTTCTTAGTATTTTATCATTGTTTCTTTTTTATTGTATGATACCCATTTCACATACCTACCCTTGTCTAAATAATTAGAGGTCTGCATTCTTATTTACAGGTTGTCTGCAATTGCTAGGTCACTGTTTCTAATACCCTTAATGGTGTATTGCTCATTAAAAGGCAGAATTTGTTGCTATGCTTTCCTTCAAACTGCCTCAATTCTAAAAGAGAAATCCCTGTGATTTTTTTCTGTGCTTTCTATATATTTTGTATAATTAGTAGCATCTTTCTAATGGAATTTAATAATCTACTCTAACTGAAAGTACTTGGAAGTATTTTAATGGTAAGAAAACCGTGAACTTAAAGCATCATAAATGGGCAATCCTTTCAGTAGTTTTGCATAAGACTGTGGACAGTACACATTAGACAGGAAAACCACGTGTGCCACCAGCTTTGTACGAATTAGAACACTTCCTATAACAGCTCTATGAGGAAGACATGGTAGATGAATAATTTGGATAATAAGGCATTGTAACTTTGTTCTGGTGCATGGGTAGAGCCAAAACTGCTTGAATGCTGCTTAAGGAATGGCATAGAAATTCGTTTATAACTGAAATTATTTTGTGGTACTTAGAGAGCCTTTTGAAGTACAGGAAGATTGCCAACATGGAAAAATGTATTAGAAATGCAGAAGTGTGCTATGATAAATATAGCACTCATAGGTGGGGTTAAAGGCTGTGATATAGCTGTGTGCATTCAGATTTATTTACTGCACAGAAATGAATCCCAAATGGCTGTTTTTTTGCTTTGCTGACTGTAATCTCAACAAGGCAGACTTACAGACATCTGCTAAGGGTTTTTTTATTATTATTTGGTTAAGATTTTGAGATTGAGGTGAGAAAAATCCAACTGTCACCTAGAAATGACCCCAAGGGGGTTTCACAGATTTGTCCAACATGTTTTTCACAGATTTCTACAGGCTTAGAGGTATTCTTTGATCTGAAGTGCTTCAGACTGTGACAACTCACATTTGCTAAAAAATAATGGATTGATTTATGTGGTGTGCTGTTTAACCTTTACTCAGTGAAGCTTTTTTCAAAATAAGAAGGATAAAGACCAAGCAAGGGACAAGTTGCCCACATTTTTCTTCAGCAGGCATTGAAAGATACATCAGTTAATCCACTGTTATGTCTGCAAATAATTCCTTATGCTAAGTAGCCCCTCACATTCATAGCCACTGGGCTCACTCACAGTATGTTAATAACTGTCAGGAGATTTATTTCACAGTGAGCTTCTTATCTAAAAAAGATGTAGTCTTTGTATGTCTGTTTAGTTAGTATACTGTTGTAGTCTGACTGAGAATTGTCTGCAGTGTGATGCTTTTCAGGAAAGAGTGTGTAGACCAGGTAGTACTTCCAGCTATGGCCCTGTTGTGCCACACAGGTATCTGACAGCAGTAACATCAAGGAGAAACATTTTAGATTCTCCTTTCTTTCTCTAAGTAAATGCATGCTGATAACATTCTGACGAAATCAGAGCACAGGAGCAAGTGACATTATGGGAATTCTCTGTGATGCGTTGTAATGTTGGATTTTCAGTTTTTAAAAGTGGTTACATTTGTAATTGGTGAATAAAAAGGACCAATTTATCCCTTGCTGTGAGAAACATTTTTCTTATATATTATTCTCATGAAGCCTCTAATTCAGCCAAATGTATTATGTAAATGGAACCTATGAAATACCTTCTAAAATATATACCAGATTTGCATTACTAGACTGTTATGTTAGATTGAGCAAGGGCCCTTTTTACATTATATGGCAAATTTTTTGACTTTCATAATACTCCTTTCTAAAATAAATTGTGTTTGGTGCAAGGCTTCTATTAATAACTCTTGGGGTTATCCTAAATGGGTACTTACTAGTTTCATCCAGCCATTATGAATATAATCTTTACATCTCTGTCTTTACTGATCTTAGGGACCAAACTTCTGTATCACTTTTAAGATAGAAGTGCTTTCTTTTGATACAAAATCTGAAAATGTTGGAATACAGTGACTGTTCCAGTGCCAAATGCGTTTGAATAAATCTGCATTGCATGCAGATTGAGTTTCTCAAAGCCTTACGCCGCAGATACTGTGGGTTGCAAAATTAGCAGACAGTATAATAGCTGTGAAAGCTTAAGCTCATGTTTTGTGACAGTCAGAACCCAGACTTATAGCTAGTTCATGCGCGTTGCTTGCAAGTTTGGTACTGGTAAAAGATAAGAACAACGTTAATCTTAAAATGTTCTAACAATACAGTTTAAGTGTATAGGTATATAGCTGTGCTTTTTCTGGACTATAGAGAATCATAGAATGGTTAGTGTTGAAAAGAGACCTTAAGATCATCTAGTTCCAACCCCCCTGTCATGGGCAGGGATGCCTCACCCCACACCATATCACCCAAGGCTCTATCCAGCCTGGCCTTAAACACTGCCAGAAATGGAGCATTTATTTAAAAACAGTTGTAATATATTAAGAAGCAAAAATATTTGTCAAAAAATAATTTACATTAGTAACTGGCAGTACTAGTTCATTGGCATAATGAAATGCTGTCAGTCTTGGTTTCCTACAACTTTAAGTGGAAGTGTTGATAATGCCATTTTTATTTCTGGCCTGTTTTTTTTTTTAAGACATTCAACTTCTGATGGCTTTCTATTGTGGATCTGTTCTTACGCATAAGATAAGTTTTGTCTTTGAAATTAAAGTGTTGTAAATTTAGATCCCTTGAGCTTCCCATGAAACTAAAAAAGATACTCAGATACTGATGTAATAAAAATGGGCAGTTAACCCTAAAAATGATGTATCTATTAAAGTTATAGGAAATTTTAATTATATCTGCATTTCAGAAAGAAATATTTGGGATGTTTTGCTTAAGGTTTCATTTATCTGGTGAACACTGGGGACTTTTGTCCCAAAGGGCAAGATGACTGCTCCTCCTGTTCTCTATAATGATTTTGGGACCATCCAGATCTAAAATGATATAGATCAGCTTCTCATTTTGCCTAACAGCTGTCTTTTAAAAATTATTATTTGTTACATTCAGAACAGCAAGGGGGTAACTAATAAGGATTAGTAATGGGGAGGTTTTATTTAATTCAGTTTCTAATCTGCTTTATTCAACAAAATCCTTAAAACACAGAAATTGTATTTTTGGAGATACCAACACACTGCCATGAATTCTATAGTATGTGCAGCTCTAAAGCATATTTTCATGGAAGATTAAATGCTTATATACAGTATCTGAAATTATTATTGATTACATTTTGCAGTTGTATTCTTACATTGAGGGCTTGATGATTTACTATTTCAGTGGGTTTTCATAGCATCGTCTAGCAGAATTTATAGAAGCTAAAGGAGTATTGTTAACTCTAATGATTTTGTCACAAGTACTACTGTATTTGATGTTGTATTTTAATACCTGTATCCTGGACTACCATGAACATGTGAAAATTTGTCCTTTTACTTTTAAAAATAATTCCTTTTCTTCATAGTTACTAAAAATGTTAACATATAACCCATTTGTTTGTTTGCCCACAGACAAATAAAAGTAGTTGAGCATTTTTCTCAGCTTATACATGTCTCAATTTTTCCAGTTTTGATACTCAAGGTTGATCATACTCTTCAAGAAGGAGAGATAAGCAAGCAATATAGGATAACAGAGTACAAACAGTGCTTTATCAAGGTGTTCATAGTCATTGTTTCAGAATTAACAGTTAAGGTACCTCCATCAGGAGTTAGCAGAAGTTAACCTGTATCAGAGCAAACCGATCAGGTGTTCCTGCAGTGAAGACTGCAGTGAAGGCACATTTCACCTGTATGTAATATTTCCTAACTTACTCATTTTTTCTTTCATCTCCAGTGTGCTGGTCCTGAGCAGAATATTGGGAGGTGCTGCCTCTCCTGGCTGTGGCCAGTTTGCAGATTTGATCCCATCCTTATTAATCATTTTCACTGGATTTTTTTTGTTCTTTTTCGTTTTTTTTTGTTTGTTTTTTTTTTTACAGGAGTCCTGTGCTTGTGTTCCAGTGTGTGCATCGCCATGTCATTTGCCTAGACTGTTTCCACTTGTACTGTGTGACTATGCTGAATGACCGCCAGTTCATCCATGACCCAGAGCTTGGCTATTCTCTCCCTTGTGTAGGTATGTTTAAACTGATTTTTTTTTTGTTTTGTTTTTTAATTTATGTGATTCTGATTTCATGTCAAGATTTTTTTTTTTTAATCACCTATTAGTTTTGAATATATGTGTGGAATCATACTGTTTTCATATGACTTGTTTAATTTAATGGAGAAAATATTTGAATATCGGAGCCTTTCTTGCTAGACATGTGAACTGAGGAATTAACTGGATTCGAAAGGGCATTTCTTTTAAAAGCAGATGCATACTTTCCTGCTCCGGCAGGGGGATTGGACTAGATGATCTTTTGAGGTCCCTTCCAAACTCTAGCATACTGTGATACTGTGTGATATTTTCTTTACATTAGAATTTTGTAATCACAAAATGTTAGCAGATGATAGCATTACACTCTGGTTAAAAAATATCACCTTGACTTCCACATTTCCACTTTCAAATTAAGTAAAGTGTTAACTTTCTTGGCCTGTCTTCAAGTACTAATAAAAAGAGGACTGCAATGGGAATTTCAAATAGCTTTCCTGTTGATGAAGTTATTGCTACTAATTGTCAGCTTGAATGTCATTGAATGAAATGACATCTACCATCTCTACTTGAGAAGATGGTGGATTATCTGTTCTACCTGAGCAGGAGACAGTTTAACTTAACAAAATAAAGGCTTACACTGAACCTGAAGACATGTTTTGAGAATTGATTCCATTGCAAATTCTCAAAAATTTTGCTGTGAACAAAAAAAAAAGTAGAATTTATTTTTCATGTTGCTATATTTGAACATGTGCTTATACGTTTCTCACAAGTACTGTATAATTTTCCAGCATATTAGAAGCTGAATGGAAGATAGATTTGCCTGGTTACATGAATGGCTGGCAAATAGATTTCAAATTACTAGATAGGGGAAAAAAAGACAAAATTTCTTAGGAGAGTGGCATTTACTTACTGTGAGAACATGTTAGAACAGTAAGAACGTGAAAGAACAGTAGTAAAAACTGTTAAACTCACTTGGTTTTAATTGCTTCAGGAGCAGGATAGCAATGGTCATCACCTTCCACTCAAATTGCTGTTTATGTGCTGTCTCACCAGGTCTCATTTTACTTACAGCCCAACAGTTTGCTCTGCTACTGCATTTACACACTGATCTCATACTGCACGAAACACTTTATAACATTGTGTAAGAAATTTTGTCATAAAGAACCTGACAGGAACTTTATACCCAGTTCTCTTTCCTTGACCTTGACATTACTATAGTACTGTGTGGCAGTCTGTACGCTGAGCCTCCCTCCTTGCTTCTCCAAAATTTAATCCATTTTCTGCTCCCACACAAATTAATCAGCTACTTGAGATGGATCCATCCTTTTTTCCCTCTTTTTTTATCAGTTCTCTTCCTCTTTTCCTTTTAGCTCCCTAAGTTGATCAGTTGTTCCAGTGGTGCAGCAAGCAACTCATCTTTCTCCTCTCTTGTGAGCCTTCTTGCTGCCATGGCTAGCATCACAGAGTTTCCTCCAGTTTAGGTGTTATGTTAAACTAATGACCCTTACACAACTTCTGTCTGTAAACCCATTGCTAGTCATGCTCCACAAAACTTGTATTAGGATTTTTTGCAACTCTAATTAACTCTACTTCTGTTCAGAAGTTTTGTCTGTCTTTTTTTTTTTTTCTCAAAGAGGAGACTAAGAAGTTTGCAAAAGTTTTTAACCCTGCCTGGCAGTAGCAGGCTAGTTTTTTTCTCTCCTCTATGTGTTGAACTGTATGGGAATTGAGCAGTAGAAACAGAGTAGGTATGGCATGAGGGGAAGATGCAAGAAGACAGAGTGAAATGCTCAGAGATGCGATTTCAGTCTTTGCATGGTGAGGAAGACATTGGCTTGGCCTGAGAAAGGAATATTGTAAAGGATGTGCAAAGGTAAATGGTACTTCTGCTGTTCACGTGAGATAGTGTTCAGCTGTGGTAATGGAAAAGCAGCTGTTGCTGTGAATCTAGCCTTAGCTGGGTTATACTTTAAGTGTTAAAATAGCTAAATATGGAAGTTTTAAAAGTTTCAGGACTCCCCAAATAGGAAAGTTGTTTTTAGAATACTATACATTAAGATTGTACTAATAGCAGTAGTAATAATAATACTATAACTGATACATTTTCTCTCTGAGCTCCTATTAGTAAGAATGTTTCTTGGAAAAATTTCTGCAGAGGTGCTGTCCTGTGCCAGTGGATGTCATAGTTTAGGTTTGCCACAGTGTAGTGCCCTGCTGTGCAGTACAGAGTTTCTAGAGGTAAAGCTGAATTGTAATGCTGAAGGGAAGGAAATATAGTTGTGTCAGTATAGCACATATTATAGGCTCTTTGACACTTCTGGTAGGCTGATGAGGACTGACAAGGCAAATACTGCTTTGAGATCTGTGCTAGTGTCTCTGCACAGTGGTGTGTGGTGCTGTCTAGGCATACCTGCTTGCTCAGAGCCAATCTGATTATCTCTAAGAAGTATTGACATTATACTGTGATGGCATGCTTTGTGTTGGAGAGGTTCTCAGTCACAGTGTATGAGTATTCAGCACTTTTAAATAATATTCCATCTAAACCTAAAATTGATTTCTACCTCCATCAGTCTGCTGTGTTATCAGTTCTGTACCAAAAAAGGCATTTGTAAGCATTATCTTTCAGAGTGCTTTGCAGGATGAAGAATTTAAGCAGTGCTATTATAACTTCAGTGATTCATTTCTGCAGCTATGTTCTGGTATGCAAGAAAATACCAGGTTACATTGGAGTTAGGAACTGATGACTATTCTTTGTTCTTTGAGAAAGTCATGAGGCTGAGGTTGCATCAGACCTGTGAGAAGAGTAATGCATGAGTTGCCAACCCTTTCTTTCTTACTGTTCAGCTACAGAGGATTTTAGCCTGCTTCATAGCTATGGATCTGGTGGCTTTCCTCAGAAATGAGTTCAATTGAGAAACATTCAAAACGGTATCCTGCTATTGTCTTTTTCACTTATCTTGGCATTCTTACTTTATAGTATAAGACAGCATTTTTGCAGTCTACAGTTAGCAATCTTAATTTTTGCAACTGCACTTTCCAGTTTGTATTTGCATGTGAGGATGGTAAAGCACTGTTGACACAACTTTCTGTAATTACCTCAGTTAAAGCCTAAAATGAATTCCCTTGACAAGAATGAATATCATGGGACATGCTAAGAAAAGACTTCTCTTTCTTACCGTGTCAGTGTTGGTTTAATACATGTTATCTCTGACAAAGCATGACTCAGAGCAAAAAATATTAGACCTGAGCTTTATTGAAAGGTTAGAGGTTGATTTGAGCCTGCTTCTAAAAGGAATACAAGACAAAGTTGTATTTACTGTAATGAGGTTTATGTCGTGGTAGGTGATGAGGTTACACAGACAGATCAAAACAGTCTGTATTAATACATGTATTTTTAAACATCACGGACTAATACTGAAATAGCATATATGGTGTCTTGAATACAAAATACTAACACTCTGACTTTGGACTTTGTAAAAATTATTTTATTTTCCATTTTCAGGTAAGAACAGATTTCCTTAAAAACTACCCCATTTCTTCAAGGCATATGTGCACACATTGCCCTAGAACTGTACAGGAGGGTTTGGTTTTGTAATTAAGCCTATTTAAATTGTTTGCACTTCCAATTAGTTCCATTCATTCTAGTGTTTTTCAAAAATAGAGATAACATAATGAACATAGCCTGAAGTTTCTGTTAACATTTGACTCACTGTTCCTGATTTTTATCAAGGGAATGTACCAACATAGCAAGTTTTTAATATCTTTTATTGGATCAATCTAGAGGTGAAAGCACCACACACAACAGAATAAAAATAAACAGCAGCTGCTACAGCAAAGGGTCACAGTGACAGACAAGATCAGCATTATCATCACATGTGTATGATAACTTGAGCTTGAAAGCATCTAGGGATTTCAGATAAACAGTGCTTCTCAAGTAGGTTCAATTTCTTGCTTCCTGGTACAGATATAGCAGAAGATGCATTTTGTTACTGCGTTCAGGTATTTTGTATGGTTATATCCTTGCTTTGCTTTGATTTCTGTTATGTGGCCTAATTAAGCAGGAGATAATACATGCTCAGAAGAAGGCTATCATCTCAGCTGATGAGCTGTGATACATCACCTTGATAATTCCATAGGTTTGCTTTGTTCCAACACAAAATGTGTCATTGCTGTAATTTTTAGAAGAACAACATTAATTTCTTAGTGCTTAGCTGCTAATGCTGCCAGGCAGCACTACTCCAGCTGAGAACAGCCAGCATTGAGGGCTGCAGTTCTGAGCATGATAACTAGTGCATTGATAGGATTAGCTGTTGAGAGTAGTGTAGCAGAAGCCCCAAGATTCAAACCCACTGTATCAGCTCAGAGCAAGGACTTACAGATAGGAGCTGGCTGGATTTTATTGGTCATAAAAATAAAAAAGCAAACGCTACAGATTATACTCTCTCTGCCCTTGCTAAATGGCAGCAAAAATCTATCCCATCTCTCTGTATGGTGTCTTGTACTAATGAGGCTTCATGCGTAGAAATTTCCATGAGTGGTGACCTCCAAGTATCTTTGAAATAATTAATAAGGTGCTTAGAGGGATAGATTTGCATATGCATGAAAGATCATTTATGGTTATTTAGTTACTGTGCAGGGCAAAGAATCTCATAGCATTACCTCAGAGCAGGAATTGTATACAAATATTCAATGTATTAGCCCATTTAAACACATGCTGTTCCTATGAATACTGTTTCTTTTTAAAATAACATTACAGCATTATAGGTCTTGGTCCCCAGGGTAAAATAAACTTCCACAGATCTTTGGTAGAAGAAAAGGTGATGAGGCTAAGGAAAGGCAAGGTTTTACACTGCTGTAGGCACTTTCCAAAATGTCTTTGCATCACTTTATTTCTTATGAGTAATCATATGCATGATGTGTTTTAAAGGAATCCAGATAAAAGATGTGGTTCTCCTGATGACTGCAAAACACTATTGTGTCTG